TGAGAATAATAAATTGGTCATTTTCAATCCACGACTGTTTGTGGGACATTGCTGTGCGCAATTGGCTGCCACGTTCGCCCACAAATATACAATCAATTCACTTTACAGTGTGTTCTGTGAAGCGCTTTGGGACGTCCTCCCGAAGTGAAAAGCGCTATATCAAATGCAAGGATTATTATTATATATATATATATATATACTTTGTTGCCTCTAACAGTTTCTCCTCCAGTCCCCACACTGTCATGTCTGGCGTCCCCCAGGGCTCTGTCGTTGGCGCTCTCCTCTTTAATATCTATATGCTCCCCCTTGGTGACATCATCCGCAGACATGGGGTCAACTTCCACATGTATGCAGATGACACCCAACTCTATCTTTCTGCCTCCAACCTCAACTCCAGGACCACTGCTGTCCTGACAGACTGTCTGTTGGACATCAAGTCCTGGATGAGGGCAAACTTCCTACAGTTGAATGTGAACAAGACTGAGGCCCTCCTGATTGGCTCGAGTCAGCACCTCAGGCTCTGGCAGCATCAACCTCCATGGTTGCACACTACAACTCACAGGCAGTCAGGAACCGAGGTGTCTTGTTCGACCCTCAACTGTCTCTTCTTCCCCACATCCAAGCCATGACCCGCTCTGCCTTCCCTCACCTCTGTAACATCGCCCGACTCCGCCACTACCTCACCCCTCAGGCCACTGAAACTCTTGTTCATGCCTTCATCACCTCCAGGCTCGACTATGCAAACCCCCTGCTTGTCGGCCTTCCCAACTCCTCCCTCCACAGGCTGCAGATAATCCAGAACTCTGTAGCCCGTGTCCTCTCCTGCTCCAAACTCCGTGACCCCATCTCCCCCACTCTCGCCCAACTCCATTGGCTCCCTACCCTTCAGAGGATCCAGTTCAAGATCCTGGTCCTCACCTACAAAGCCCTCAATGGCCTCGCCCCACTCTTGTGACCTCCTAAACCCCTACCAATCCGCCCGCTCCTTCCACTCAGCCGGCTCCGGCCTGCTCCACCTCCCCTGACCCACCTGCCCCACCATTGGCGGGAGAGCCTTCAGCCACTCTGCCCTCAACCTCTGGAACTCCATCCCCCAGTCACTCCGCCTCGCCCCCTCCTTAGCCTCCTTCAATCCCGCCTCAAAACCCTCCTCTTTGACCATGCCATCGGCCACCCCCCTTCCCCTCCCCAGCTCGGGTCTGAAATGCTGTACTCTGTCCTGTGCCTTGGGACGTCCTCTCGACGTGAAAGGCGCTATACAAATGTTGTATTCTTGTTGTTAAATGATCATGTCCATGAGGTTTGTATTTTTTAAATTATTACATTGTTATTGGGGTACCCCATTTTATGCCTTACTTCTCGGTTAAGAGAGCAGCCTAGTTTAACGAAAATGATTCCATTGACACAGTCAATCCCACTTTCTTGGCTTTTCTACCAAAAGGCAACTAAGATAAATAACATGGTAAAGGAATCCCAAGTTAGCTTTACTCTTCCTTTCAAAGCAACTGAAACTAAAACACTGTGGAAGCCCAAGCAAACTCAAATCAAAATCTTTTAATACCATGCTCAATACCTCTTCATAATATGAATAGCCAATCATATTAATATTTGCCAAAATATACATGCACGTCCCCTTCGCTACAAGCTCACTTTTTTAACCCATCAGGATGATTAAGTATGCAGTAGATGATGGAACGTAATTGAGTTACCCTTGTAGTTCAGCGCTGATTAAAAAGTGTACACAGAATAGACACATTTTATAAGGTATTGTGAATTCTATTTTCATGTAAGGGAAAAGCAACATTTCAATATACTAAAAATGCTTGGTTGATGAAAACATGGTCATGGTTTATTTAATTCTGGAAACATCAAACTTAAAGCACATAGGCAGATACATTGGCAGCTTTGCAATGAAAGCATGTAAACAAAGAATGCAATCCGACCATAAATTGCCAAGGGCATTCCTAGACCACTTTATTAGTCCCTATAATGAATAGCTTTTCATTTAAATTTAAGGCTGGTTTTAGTACAAAAATTTGCATTGCATCTCCTTTATAACGGCATACAGATTCAGCAGCCACTGGCAAAGGAAACCTATTACAATATTTCAAGTGAACTATTTTAAATATTACAAATTTACAAAGAGTTTTCCAACCATCCAGCTCTTCTAAGCCATGTTCAGAAATAAAAATAAGCTAGTTAAATATCTATTTCAAGTACTGGAGCACATTATAGTCAAGGTACATTCTATGCCATTATTTTTCACCCTAATCCAGTTTCAAACTTTAAAGCATTATAAATTAACAGCCTTAAAAAAAAATAAAGGCTAAACTCAACACACACATACCTCATTTTGAAAGAAAGTATCAAAGCAGCTATTTTAATGAGTCCACCACTTTTCAATAATAGAGAATTCTGATTCTAATCTATCCATTTTGTAGGGCAGTATAGACATTAATATTTGAACAATAAAGGATATCTCGTCACCTGACAAGTAAAGCATTCTTTGTGATAAATATTCTAACTTACCAGTGACAAAAAGCAAACACAAATATCAGAATACATAACAATAAATCCAAACTATATGTCCCCCAGAAGCAAAAAGACAATTGCAGCATCACACTGATGCTTTAATACTGACAATAGATAATTATTTTACATTCAACCCCTATCAATTAGCTCGCTAGTTCACTAACAGTAATGTTGCAGAATGAATGCTACATTATATGGGCATTACTTCCAGGAATCTGGCTATTTGCTGAAATGTGCGTGTTCAGAAGTGCTATCTGTAACCACAGGAGCCTCCTCATCTTTGCCTGGAGCAACACACGCCTCCATTTGTTTCGGCTGCTCTTCAATTTGTTCCACTTTCTCTTTATCACCTGTTAACTCGGCCTCTATGGGAGTGGATTTGGCGTTGTCCTCAGTCTCAGCTTGATTCCCATCATGCGCAGATACCTCACCTTGACTTTGGTCTTCCTCAGATTCAGCTTCTAAGACACAAATCATGACCATTCAGAATATTTTATATGGACCAGCAAACTCTGAACAACTTCTTGCACTTATATAGGAAACCATCTCAAAGCACTTCACAGAGACTGAGTGGTAGCTCAAAGAGGTTGGCGGGTGGGGGCGGGAGAGATTAAAGGGAGGTCATACAGACAGGTTTTTGTCAGAATTTTGAATGTGGTGAGGGAGGGTGCAGGGTGGAGGGATTTATGGAAAGTATTCCAGAGTGACTGAAAATGTGTCCATTGATACATAGTTTGATCTCCAAAGCTGATGATACATTTTAGGAACAACTTGAAAATACAATGTGAAGTGAAGCAAGTGAGTATTTTGAATGATGAGATGAAATGGCCCAGAGTCTTCATCATCCATACTTTACCCATATTTTATACATGTCCTGAACACGGATTTCAAGCCTTTCAAGCCAGTCTTGTTATCTTTGCCTGAATACTATTTAGGTGAAATTTAACTATCCTTAACCTTCAAATGGATAACCTTTCTTTACAGAATTGATTACTAAAGATTTTATTGCCGCACATCAAGCTGTGAAACCCTGGTATTCACTGTCCTCTTTGCAAATTTATTATTGTACATTGTAAAAACTTCAAAAATAAATGGATTAAAATTTACATCTGACTCATTTTACTTACTTATCCAAATAGCATAAAGCGTTGTGAGGGGATAGGAAATTATTTGTAGAGCATATCATTCACAGTGCTGATTATAATTCAGCACAGCCATGGGATATCAATGATAACCTACTACTTACCATGCTTCCTCTATACATAATATCACTATGGTAGATTCTAATTCTAGATATGGCTTTATTGAAAGTGACCCATTTGTCCATTTTGCAACGTGTTTTGATTTGATTATAATAAACACTGTACGTACCATTAGCAGGCTGACCATCATGGGTTGCAGAATGGGAAGTGACTCGACCCTGTAATTCAGAACAGCTTCTTTTCTCAAAATTGAACTCTGGAAGGCGTGGAGCCTGAGGCCGTGTTTTCCGTGCGGGATTAAGAAAGAAACAGTACGCACATCTAAATGCTAATGAAAGAAAACGGGAAGGAAAACAAAAAACATGAAATGAGAACTGTGACACATTTATAGTTAAATACAAGCCATTTCTAGGCATTATTTACAATAGATTTCATTAAATGGTCCTCTATTATAAATTTAAAAAAAGAAAGTCATCCTCATGTCTAGTGAGGAATAAAAAAAATTATACTTTTTATAAAAACCTGTCAGGAGTTAACATGCATCAACTTTCTAGTATTGCACTACAACTCTCTCTAACAAAGGATTATTAAATGAGTTTACTAAAGTACTTATCGGTATAATCAGGCAAATGGAAAAAAATCCCTTTTAAATTTCCCTCTGTGCAGATGAAATGACAAGATTAGTACCAGGATTTAGATATTGGGCATATGTCATATATTCCAGTTGACCCCAGTTATAATGCAGTGTTTGGGAATTGGCCAAGAATTCGGAATGGTGGGAATGTTTATAACAAGACGTCCATTATTTATAGTACTGATGCTTCATTCTGAAACAAAGACATTACAAATTACATTATCTATGTTATGGATGGTGTTCCTTATTCTTTGAAGTTTAGTCTTCATGTACAGTTGCTTTATGTGGCAAAGATGGGTTGAGGTCAGAGACAATGGCCTATTCTTTAAGCTTTTCTTGCTATTTCCTTACCAAGAATAATTATATTTTGTTTAGTTTGGTATAACAGTACTTTAAAACAAAATCTCTACTTTATCTCCCCTGTGAAGTGCAGCACTGCTTTATAGTTAAGTTCAATAAACTTACCAACATATTCAAACTCTTCCTTCAAGGCCATGCCGTTGTGGGAGAAGCACTGCTGACAGATAAGTGCATATCTGAGAAGATTAACAATAAAACAGTATAAAAGATTAAAGGGCTACAATTGAATTCAAATAACGTCAGAAATCTAGTAAGTAATGTCATACAATTGCAACAAATGATTATTTAACTCCACCTGTTCTGTGGTCCATCACCAACTAAATATTCAATTACTCTATCAACAGCCCCTCGATCCCGAGGGAGGATGGGCCTGGCTAGTGGAGGACCAGGAGGATGTAGACCTGCAATTATAAGAATTCATAGGTTAATACTGGGAAGGGGTTATTTGACACATACTATCACAAAACTATTCTTTATTTGAAACCATACTATGCTAATGTATTTGGCAATGTTCATTGTGGATATTGAACTAAAATAACAAATTGTGCACAAGTTAACCAAACTTGTAAGAATCTTTGATGTTCTACATTTGTGTACAGTTTTACATCTTCAGGTAGCGAATTAGATTTCTTTCATCTCTCTGACTTACCAATAGAGTCGGTTCACAAATATTATTCGAGTTACCTTTACTGAAATTAGTTGCAAGCTATTTTTATTCTAAATTCTATACCAAAATTGGCAATCCTAATCTTCAAGTCTTTGAAGAACGTTTAACTTCAATTGAGGTGTTTGGATGTAGAGAAGCATCAATATTTCTCCAAAGTATCATAGGAGTTGAGGTTGCACTGATGCAATGCTGTGGTACTAACATTGTTTCAGTGTAAAACACACACCAAAAAACAACTTACAGCTGTTTGGAACTGCTGCCAGATGCACTGCAGGGGAAAAATGTTTCAGAAGGATGCACAGAATTAATAACTTAAGGACTTGCAACCCTCGTGATGCAGGAGTCATTTTCTGCTGCTATTCAGGCCAACAGTAATTAATGTAATTAAACATCAAGAGCAATTACGGCAAGATGACTGGTCATTTTTGTAAATCTTGGCAAACTCTTAGCTACCTGCTGGTTATTAATTTACTACCATATGGAAGCCCTGTAGTTCAACGTTTAGTATTTAATTGATTTTCAGTCTGCCGAATGATGTGGAAAACCTAAAAGCAAAAAGGCAGTTCTGATAAATAAACATATTAACAGCTTATGCAACAAATGCCATTGTACAGGATCGTTGAAAATGTTTTACAAACTTTATAATTATCTAAATACAAGAAAATGTAAATGTAATTTTGTTGTTGTATTTTGTTCTCCCAGTGAGTCTGCTTCTACTTTGCTGGCATACATTTATTACCATTTAAACAGGAGTGCTGCAACGTTTTAATAAGCTTAGTCAAGGGTTTTAGAGATATGAGAGACCAGCTGCCAGTGACTAATGGTTAATTAAATATGGAGGTCTACAATATCAGATATCTGATTCTGAAAGCAGAGAAAATAAAACACTCTTTTTGTATAGAAAGAAAATGATCTATTTTATGTACAAAGAAAATTATCCATTTTATTGGTATCCGGGGATAGTACTGAAAGCCGTGATTAAAGTCAAATGCTCCATTTACCCATTCCAGGCATCAGAGTAGCTGGGGAAATGGGCCGTCTCGAGAGTACAGGTGTCTGTGAAACTGCCTGAAGAACTTTTTCTGGGGGTCCACCGGGTGCAGATGTGCTGGGTTGCAGAGCAGGTGTGCCAGCTTGTAGGTCACGTGGGTTTCCCTGGCTTGGATTTTGTGGAGTGGATGGAGTTTGACCTCTCTGACCCGAGGTCCGCTGACGCAGTTCTACTGATGGAGAGGAGAAAGTTATTACAGTCAACATGCTGTGAAAATACGATTTTCTTAATTCATGCAACTGCAGCCAGCAATACAACTCCATGTTCTGAAGAAACTGGTTCATAAGCTTCTCTACTAAACAATTTCCTCTCATGAAAATATTTTTGGAATAGAACTACTATGATAATTGTTAATAATTTCACCAACAATTGAAAACATTGAACACAACTCTCTGCCTGTGTATTTAAGTAAACAAGTTTACCTTGACCAGATCTTGGAGTACCTGGGATTCCAGATGCTGGCTGATCAAGTTCCTATTAACAAAAATATCAAAATGTAATTTATACATTAGAACAGAGGCTTGCTGTGATACTTAATTCAAGGTCCCTTGAAATCTTCCACATTGATAAACTGATCATGAATCTTCAAATCCTTCATATACTGCAATAGTAAACCCAGGTCAATAATTGTTCATGGATTGGAACAAAACAACAAGATTACATTTGTACAGCGCCTTGGGAGGACGTCCCAAGGCGCTGAAAGTGGTTTGGTACGCATGACTGTTTGTGGGACACTGCTGTGTTGGCTGCTGCATTTTGCCCACAAAATATACAGTCAATTCACTCTACAGTATATTCTGTGGAGGGCTTGGAGACGTTTTGAAGATGTGATAAGGTGCTGTATCAAACGCAAGGATTATTATCTTTATCTGTGTCAGTACAGTGTATTTAGTGTATCTAGTATATCCAGTAGTATATCTAATGTAATGAGCTTTAACCTTTCCCAAAGGTATTCTTGCGGGGTGATAACACAATACGTATAACAACTTGCCCTTGCATCTGGAAAAACACGTAGCGTTTTGCAGAGATTGAGCAAGGTATGTGCAAAAAAAAAAAGCTTACACTATTCTGGAAGTACATTTGCAAAGGACACAAGCATCATTTTTTTTGCCATAGAAAGTATGATGATAAGATCCAACCAAAATGCATACATCAGTCATCAATACAAAACAATGAATGAAAAAGTGCAAGTTTTCTTTGTCCATGCATTGATTTGCATGATCAATTTTTGACAGGCACCCAATTTTTATGACACTGAAGATCAATAATTGTTATAACGCCAGCAGAACAGCTGTGCAACTTTTGTCACTGACATTTGACAGATATCAACATTGGACATGAATCTATTAATATGGTCAAAGAAGTGTAATTGATACGACAACCAGGAGTAATTTATAATGAATGGCATCATTCAATTAGTCTGCTAACTGAATTCATCTGAAGTGTTTAACTATGTGGTTTTAAAAAATTCTACAAGTGGATCTTGTAATAGCTGGTCATCTCGATCATATGTCTCAAACATGGTATCAATACAGTATAAACAAACTACTGAAACAAATGCCTATAAAAATTCTCGACATCAAGTCGACACTGAAGTCGCATTCTAAGTATTGCACATACACAAACAAACCTCCACTGAAATCCTTCTTTCACAAAGTGACATCAGCAGCAGGATGCTGGCAATAACATGGGGAAATTCCAATTCATATTAGTACAGGGGAGGCTAGATTTAAAGAACATTTTTTGGAAAGCAGTGAGTAAGTGTAGAGGAAGCTATATATAGCTATGGCCTTACCCAACACAACCGTGCTCAATATTTAAAGGAAAAAAAGTCACAAGTCAAATTAGGTCAGTAAATAAACGTTAATTCATAACCTTGGATGACATACAAAACATACTTTACATGTCATATGTTACTTGTATAATTTGAACTTCATGTACGATGCTATTATTTGGTTATATTGAACCTGTTTACATCAACATCCCAGGGATGTTGACAATAATTTGAACTTCATGTACGATGCTATTATTTGGTTATATTGAACCCGTTTACATCAACATCCCAGGGATGTTGACAAAAATTTGAAGACTTACTTTAGTTTTTTTGGATTCAGGATCAAATCTCTCCAAAATAATTTTGGCATTCTTGTAAGTTTCCTTTTCCATTACTTCTTCAAGCTATTTGGGAAGAAAAAAAGATATTATAGCTGCATATTAGCATGACGTTTCTCATGCATCATAACACTGAGCAGAGTCCTCTTTACCCCAAACCATGCTTACTGACACCATTCTGAAAATCATTCCTACTGAAAATCTAGTTAGATGCATCACAAATCATTATCGTCAATCACTCTTTAGTTACCACAATGACGTTTACTCACTAAAAACTTTACAATGAGATTTTGTTGATTAATTACAATCATTGACAAATTTTCACGAAATAATAATAATGGAACTAACTGGGTTTATGAAATACTACTTCTATTTTCCCCTCAAATTCATATGAGAAAGAGCAATTTTGATAAGTACCTAAATGGGTCACACCTTAGTTATTAAACTAAACATTCTATAATTTTGTTTGTCTTGTATACATAAATTGAGTTCATATTTTATGATGTGACTTCTCATAGACTTTGAGGAGGTGACATCCCAAAGTGGCAGTGGAAAGTTGTAAAGATTTGGTAAAGACTTGTAAAGACTTCCAAAATTACTTTGACAAGTACGAAAATTGACTCCCTCCTTTACAAAATAGTGTCAATGGGTTTCAAGGTAAGGATGAGACTTGATAGCTCACTACATTGAACGAAGAACAGGGTAGTCATTGGGAAAAAACAGAGTGGAATGCCTCAGGAGTCCAGGGTGAGATCTCTCCCACTCCTTATATACCTGAAGTGACTTGGATGTGAATTTCATTACAATGAGGTCAGCTGGTTCCAATAGCTTAGACTAAAAGCTAAAACGCCAGCTGGCCGGACTAATGGGGGGAAATCCGGTCCGGGGAGCCAAAATTTTCCTACAAAGTGTAATTACAATGCCGGTACCAACATTTAGCAGTGTTTTTCCCAAAATGCCAGTATCGGCACTGAAATTGTTTGAATCCCGAGAAAAAAAGACAGTGAATAAGCCATTCTGTGCTCATGGGATTCAAGCTGAGTCAAAATCGATACTGTATCTCTGGCCACTGTGAAAAAGAGACCAAGGACTGCTTACACTATGTCCAGCGTGAGCAAAAAGAGAAATGCACAGGATGCTTGGCTCAAATCGCAATCAAGTTCAGATTCCCAAACGTGACACTGGAGCTATACAGAGCTCTGATTAGGTTTCATTTTGAGTACTGGGCCTAGTTCTGGTTAGCGTGACAAAGAGATCATTGCAAGTCCTATAGATAGTGAAGAGGAGAGAAGCACTGCTGATCCCCAGTAGCTAGATAGATACGCAATGAGGAATGACTAGATGAGCTAGATCTGTTAAGCTTTCATTCATCCGACTCCTTTGTATTATAACATGTTAATGAGGCTACCTGCAATGCTACATACATACACACATACAGTCAATCAACACCCCCCCCATCTCTTCC